CAGTACAGTTTATATGACTGTACAATTTATTGCTGGCCATGCTTTCTGTTCTCGGGAGTGAAGACTGAAAACCCATACATTTAATGTAGCTGCTCAGCTCCCGGTGTGGGAGATGAAGAGGCTTGTGAACTCACTCCATGGTGTAGCATCAGGCAGGAGGTGGTGGCTCCCCAGAGAATAAGTAGCTAGTGGGGACAATGAAGAGATTTCACACAGAATCAAGGCAGTGAGGTGAAGAAGATACTGATGAACACTTGTAGAGAAAAGCCTGAGACCCGCTAGCCTCGTCCAGTCCTTCTTCTGGGGGTTACGTCCATGAGGGGGTTGGCCTCAGCAGTGGAGGAGGACATGGAAAATTCTCAGTTGAGCTGCATAGCAAGTGTGGTGGAAAGTGGCCATAGCAGAACTGAGGAGGTTAATATTTCTGTCAATGCCATTGCACAAAATAAAGTGGACTAATCACTTGTATTGAAAGTTAAATGTACAGGACAGAGCAAAATTTGTATTTATAATGAAGCCACAGTGCATTCCACCTATTAGATCTTGGGTGACAGAAATTGTCCTGATTCAGCCACACTGATTGCACATTTCTGTGTCAAAATGCTGTGACTAAAATAAAAGAATACATGCTCATTTATTTATTCCTAGAGGTAATACTGTTTAATTTAGAAACAAGAAGTTGGATCTTAGAGCTGTATTGTTTATATCTACTTAAGTGCCTCATGAGATCCTGTTCTTAATTTAGTATTGTATCTTAATGAAGATGATAAAAATATAACACTTTGTCAACAGAACAAGGAAAATACATTTTTATTGAATTGTAACACATTGCATGGCTTTATAGACTTTTGCTAGATTGTCTGTCATTAAGCTGAAATATCTAGATTACATGTGCTGTGGCTTGGCATTAAGAAAAAAGGAACTCATAAAATATTCATATTCTTATACCATGGTAAAGGTCAATACAAAGATTGGTCTTTCCTAGTTTCCAGTTCATGAAACAATATTTTTTTTCTTCTCCTAAATCTGAAAAAATCCTAGAAATAATTTTGAATTGTACTGCTGATTTTATACAGAGTTTAGTGAAGATACTTTAAAGGCAGAACTCTCAGTTTGAAGCTGCTGTCATCATGTCTTTGCACAGAGATAGTACAGGGTATCGGTATCTGTCTCTGTCTCTCTCCCTCTTCGATGCTATATTTATAGCATCCCCCTGGCCATAAAAGGTCTGGACTGGGGCTCTGACATTCCACTGACTGCAAGCATTATTTTTGTTCTGGACCTTGAAGTCCAGTCCTTTCCCCTCGTCCTGACTACCTCTTTCTTTGCTGGCTTCATTGTTGCTGTATTTTTGTGCTATTCATCCACTTGAGAGCTATTCCATTTGCTGCCATTCATTTGTGTCCTGGTAAGTGTTCCTTTATGCCAGAAGGTTTTATGTGTTCAATTATTTTTAATCTGCATCTGTAATGCTGAGTTGATAGTAGGTCCCTTTATTCTTCTCAACTCAGCAGATATTTGAGGGACTTGTGGACATGAACTGACGACACCTGAGGGTTCAAGCTGTGAAGCAAAGCAAAGTAGGGCAAGGGCTTTTTTATTATCACTCAGCTACCCTTGCATATTGTCTCAGTACTCTCAAATGAAGCATGGGTTACTGAGACACAGGAGGAATTTTAATGTAATGTTCTTTGGACTTAGAGTATGTGTAAATAAACTATACATTTTCTAGTTGCTTAGGATGTCTCGTGATTCGTAAAGTCATTGACTGAGGTGAAGGAAATGTTATATTTTTTTTTCCCTACTTGCAAAGTTTCTTTTTTTTTAACCTATTTCACTATTTTCTCTGATTGATGGAGCAGATCTTTAAAGAATTACACAGACTGATAAACAGCAAAGTCACTTCTTTTAATGTGTAGCTACAGCTTATGGACAAGCACAGAACTGTCTCACTGCTCAGCAGCATTTTTAAAAATTCAGTTCAGCAGTTACTAAGATATAACTCCAAAATCTGCATATTCATCTAACTATGGCCAATAATATTTTTAGATTGAGCTTTACAGTTATGAAATGCTGCACAGATCTTGAGAGGGAATGTTGCCCTCACACTGAAGGAAGCTTGTTAGTGCACACAGAGTAAGTGGGTGCAGGTAGCATGGATTTTATAAAACTTAAGAGATGAGAGTCAATCCGGTAGTCAGACAGTGCTTCAAATAGGAGCAAAATCTTTACAGGGTTCAGAGTTTTTTGCCATCTCCAATAGTGTCAGACTACTATATCTGATCAGACTAGTGTAACTAATTTACCCTAACTTGTGAGTAATCCTTGATGTTTCAGAGGAAATATAAAACATACTCAGAGTGTGATAAAATACCCATAAAAGGAGTTTCCTCTTATATGATGTGATTCAGTGTGAGTCAGTCATGTGAATCTTTGATTTGAACCAGCAGAGCTGACTTTGTGCTCAGCTCCTGCCTTACTGCCTTAAATCTTACCCCTGTTATAGACTACTACTCTTAATCCTGAGGATGATAAGGTCCAGACGTTATCTGTTTGAAATACAAAGGTTTCCTTTGTACATTTTAGCTTGTTCTTTTGCTCTGATAAGATGTAAATGAAATGCCTCATTTAACTTCTTAATGGGCAACACATGCAGTGCTTTATACTTTTGGATCACCTTCCTTGCTTTGAAGCCTGAAAGGCTGTGGGAATCCCTGCAAAACAGGACTGAATGGATGTTAGCATTGTGGCTATTGTATCCATGATGAAGCCAGCCAACACTGAAAACAAAGCTGGTGAAGACAAAGAGAGACAACTGTAGTACTCTACAGAAGGAAAACAGGATGTTCTCATGTTCCTTCCCTTACAGTGTGCAAGACAATACTAATCTGTACGCCTTAACATTACTCAGCAGCGATCGCAGTGACTTAAAAGTCTAAACCTAGATCTGCAGAACTGGGAGAGAAAGCAATGAAGAAAAATGAAGAAAAAAAAATCTTTTGACTCCAGGAAATTAAGAGAAACTACATACTACTGGTAGCTAACAAAGTGAAATAAATAACAACACAAAATATTGACAGGTATTAGAAACAAGGATATTAGACAGAATAATTGCATTATTTTAGATTGATATGAAAAAATAGCCAGCATGAGGAATAAAGGAACTAAAAAAGAACATCAGTTTTTGCCATAGAGAACAATGAGTTGATACTTTCCCATTTCTCCCCCTTCCTCAAATAAAAATAAAGTAATTGCATAAATTGATCCCCTTGAAGTCACAGTTTTACTGTGGCCAGGATATCAGCAATTTCTTTTACATAAAGACTTCTGAATGAGTTTCTTACTTGTTGGCTTTCTGTAAACAATCAATCTATTCTGTTATCATACAAAGAACATCTCCCTTGAGAGACCCCTGAAATACAAGAAAGTTTTCCTCTTTGTTTTTGCTTGGTTTGTTTTTTTTTTCTTTTTCATAATTTGCCTTGGTTAGGGTGAGTACCCAAGCAGTTGCCAAAGAGAATAGTTTGCAATTTGTTAACTTGCTATGGGAACCAAATACTAAAGGTGAATTCAAGGACCAAAATTGAGGAAACATAAAGACCAGGGAAAAATATTTTGATTTTCATGAAAACATGATTACTCTCCAGTTCTATAAATGTATGTTATGGCAAAACATTAGATAATTGTTCACTAACATGAGCAAAACAAGAAGTAGAACAAGTCTCCTATTACTGTGATTGACATTAAAAAAAGACCCAAATAACAAACATTTCTCACCTTTACTTTTGGATCTTCTTTAAAACCTTCTAAATATTTCCTCACTGTAGCTCATTTCTACTAATAATCAGGTTTGTCCTTTTCATGGACAGTACTAGCCCTATTATAAGCCTAATAACCAGTGAGAAGAGAAAGAAAGGTTATCATATGGATTAGTAAAGGCAAGCTTGCATGTCAAGGAACAAAAAGCCAGTTTTAACAACAGCAAAATAAACAATAGCAAACTAAAGACTGAATTGCCAGTTTAAAAACCAGAAAAACAAGGGAAATCCTTTCTTCACCCAACTCTCATCCCATTTTGTGAGAGGAACTACCTCTCACCTGATCAAATTTCCTACTACGAGCAACTGCAAGACAATCTACTGATGACTGTGCGAAGTAAAACTCAGATGGACCTATTGTCTGGTGGAAGTTTCTTGACAATCTGGAACATGACATTCTAGGTTAAAGAAAAGGGTCAGTTGGATTGAGGAGCATAATATTATTTTAACTTTTGCATACATACTGTATCCCTGATTTAACTGCAAAAGTATGAAAAGCCATTTTAAACTGAACCTTGGTATGACTTACAAAATAATCAATGCAATACATGTTTACAGAAAAACTGACATTCTTCTCAATCTTACTATTTTAATTCACTGATAAAATATTAAATAGAATATTAAGTTCAATCTGAAAACTGGATTACAAAAATGTATTAAATGTTCATATATTTTTATTTCAGCTTATATAAGCTTGTTGGAACTGCTTGGCCTTTTAAAATAATTTATTCCTTTATTATCTCTTTTGTAATCGAACAAAATAATTTACAATATCTCTAATGAAGCTAGGCACATGAAGTTTCATTAGTTTGCAGTAATGAACGGAGTTGAGCACATAAAACTTGAATAACTTGCAGTAACAGGGAGGCCAGCTACAAACCAACAGACACAGTAGTGCAGTGGTTTCTGGTCATAATGAATGACATATGAGCATCTTGAAACTTAAATACTAACCTGAAAGTATAAATCACATGATAAAAAGATGACCCTAAATTCATTGCATTTTATTTTTGAAGTTTGAAGTTCTGTGTTAGTTTGAATGAAGTTGTGTATTATTTGTATGCTAACTCAGAAGTTTCCTTGACAATAGTCCTTATGTTTGATCTGTTCTTTTTCAGACACCTTCCTGTTTGTTTACATTGAGAAACGTGCAGTGAAAAACAAAACTAGAAGGCAACCATGATGTCCTTACCTTTCTACCAAAGAAACCATGAGCACTATGACCGTAGCTACCGCCATAAAGCACTGACGTCCACTGTAAGCCAGTACCAAAAGGAAACAAAGAGCAAATCTGCCCTTTATGCTCAAGGATCTACAGCTTATGCTAGGGGCTCTGCAGCCTATCGCCATGCATCTGCAGCAGCCTTCAGCCTCGACTCTTCTGCAGCTTATAGTCATAGCTCTTCAGCCTATGACCTTGAGTCGGCAGCCTACAGCTATGGATCCACAGCCTACGATCACTCTGCTGCACAAAGTAAAAGATCCACTGCCTACAGTCTTGACTCTGAATCCCTCAGCAGAAGCTCAGCTGCCTACAGACATGGATCTGAATCCATCAATAAGCTGGCTGAAGCCTACAGGCTGGGATCTGAAGCCTACAGTTTTGGGTAAGTAAATCCATCTTTGAAACAGTATTCCAGTACAAAATTGTCCAACTACCTCCCATTGAAATCAATGGCCAAAGTCTCCTCCTCTTCCAAATAAATTGTTTCTGTAACTTGATGTTAATGTATTTTCATGGTCTGGTGTTTTCCTTTGGCTTTGGCAATGGGAATGACTGTGGTCAGCTTAGTTTGTTGGACTAATTGGTACATGATTGTTGGACTGGCATAAGAAGAGCACTGGCAATGCTGATGTGGCTGAATGATGACATTCACACTCTAAACCGATTAGGCATGAGCCACCTCTTCTTCTGAGTTATTTAGCCATATTAGTACAAATGAATTTAATATGAGGAGTCTAGATACCTCTTGGGTTGAGGCTGGCTCTTACCTAGCCATATTGGAGCAGTAAAAGAACTCAAAGCTGTTCATGCAAGTTTGAGCTGATGTGTCTGTGTACCATTACCTTCTCTGGCCTAATGGTTTCACTTTTATGCTGAGTGATTCAAGAAATTGAAATTTTCATACCTTTTATTGATTGATGCATGCTATTTCCAAAGCAGGAATACCCTGAGTGTCCATCTTGCATGAGAAGAGCAGCTATGCTTAGCTGCCATGTTTTTGGGTTTTTTTGTTTATTTAAGATAATAAATATTGCTCAAGTAATTACATTAGCAGAATATTTTAGATATCATAGCCTCATATTATTTGTATGTATGCATCTCAGAGATTTACAGAAATTAAGGGAGTATTAAAGTAAGATTAGAGCAGCTGTTAGCAATAAGAAAATGATCAACAAATTATAGCCCAATATATCTGCTTCCTGTTAGAGTAATATAAAATTTAGAGCATTATTAGCAGAACTGATCAAGACTTGTTCACCAGAAAATTAGAATTTTGAAAACTGAATATTCTCCAAGGATTGCAGATAAAGTTGGAATTTTGGCCAAAACCACTGAGGGAAAGACCACCTGCACCACAGTAAACAAAACTTTGTGATTGCAGCCCTCACTTGGCTTTCAGAAAGTTCAGGGTCAAATCTCTGTTTGCCAGGGTCTGTTCATGTATTTGAACCTCAGGCTGTTGCAGACCAGATGAATGACTTTACTTGACTCCTTACCACAAGAAGGACATTGAGGTGCTGGAGTGTGTCCAAAGAAGGGCAACAAAGCTGGTGAAGAGTCTGGAGCACAAGTCTGATGAGGAGCAGCTGACGGAGCTGGGGATGTTTAGCATGGAGAAAAGGAGGCTACGCTCAGGACTTATCACTCTCTACAATTACCTGAAAGGAGATTGTAATAGATGGGGATCAGTCTCTTGTCCCAGGTAACATGAGACAGGACAAGAGGAAATGGCCTCAAGTTGCATCAGAGGAGGTTTAGACAGAATATTAGGAAATATTTCTTCACTGGAAGAGGGGCGAGGCATTGAAATAAGATGCCCAGGGAAGTGGCAGAATCACCATCTTTGGAAGTCTTCAAAAGGCCTGTGGATATGACACTTTGGGACATAGTTTAGTGCTGGACTTGGCAGTGCTGGGTTATTGGTTGGATTTGATGATCTTAGAGGTCTTTTACAACCTTAATGAATCTATGATTCTATAGTTATCTGTCTTGGGCTAGGTAATATCCAGTCTTTGCTTTGAAACACTTTCATTTGTGCAGATAATTAATCACTGAGGGAGCAGTGAGAACCTCATAATCTGCTGGTGAAGGCAAGCAAAATGGAGGTGCTGAGACTGAGGGTTATGTTCCTGAAAGAGTGGGATAGAGGAAGACATTCCAGATTTCTGCAGTGATGCAGCTGTGCCTGCATGCTGCTACTGACCCTAACCCAAAGCCTCCTTCTTATGGAAAACGTTCTCATAAAAAATGGGAACATTACTTGAAGTTGTAAAAAATTGTCGTGGAAAAAATCTGAGTATCAAGCATTTCAGTTTGTGATGAGTTACTTCTGAAACCTATATATTCTCACCAAGAGAGCTCTAATGTCGGCAAACTAATAATAACAGAAGTAAAATTGCTTAATTGGGAGAGAAATTAAAAAATTTCCTGGTTTCCTGAGGTTTTGGTTGAGACAATAGTCTTTCTTTTAAAATAGTATAGTTGCATATATAGTATTCTCTAGTACAAGACTTGCCAATAGAATGATATACTATCCTGGTAATCAGAGATAAGAATGTCTCAGCTGGAACTTCTTTTTTTCTGTGGTCCTACCATTGTGTTGGATGTTTGAAAAACTCAGTGCTTCTATGTAAAATGATGACTCTGGAGATTAGACACATGCGATTCAAATCACTCTTGCACAAAACTTAACACATGAGACAACATGTTTCTGAATGAAAATCTCAATATTTAAGATGGGTTTATGGTTAATATGGCCTCTATGTTGGTATTTATTTCATTTTTGCAGGCCATTTTTCTGCAGTTTGCAAGAGGTGAAGTGGAACAAATAATGTGTCTCTACAGTGAAATGTAGTGCCAATTACATTTGAAAGAATTACATTTCTTTCCAAGTTTGCACAGTCTTCCCCAGATAGCCCAAAACACTTCAAGGGGTAATGTGGAGGCAAAAAGGGTTACCAAAATAAATTGGGCAAAAACTTTCATTATTTGTTTTCATCCATATGAAAAGAATGATGTAGCAAAAAAAAAAAAAAGAGGAAAATGAATCTTCGAATTCTTTCAAATTTCAAAAAGTAGAAAGGGCCTTGAATTGAAATGCTGTGTCTAAATGACTTAAAGTGGTGTTTGTTTGAAACTAGAATAGACACACAAATCCAAATCCAGGTAAAAGTTTTCAGCTAACAGTTGTTATTGTTAATAGTTGCATATCACTGGATATTGACATCAAATATACATTTATGTATAATGGATTTAATTTTGCAGATAAACACCATTAAGGCAAACAGGAAAATTCAAGCACTAAGCTTTTATTCATGTCACTTCTTAATTTTAAAATATCTTCTCCTAAGCTTCACTATTCTTGCAAAATTGAAGTCTCATCCTTTTCTGCAGTCACCCTACAGAAGAGTGTTCATGAAGCAACAGCAGTGCTATGTGAGGAATTTATCACAGGGAAAATAGTGGAGAAGGACTAGGGACTAGGTAACCTGCAAGACCTTGATGTGGATCCAATCCTATGGTGTTGAAGCCTCACTCGGGTGGAAAACATGCCCAGAGCATGGACATAGCTTGAAGGAGCCACAGCTTGTTTTTTCATGAGGGCAAAAAAACCTCAGTGTGCAATTGGACTGTCCCTTCCCCACATTGCAAGTCTTCTTCACACTATGACAGCTTGAAGAAGTAAAAGGAAAGAAATTAAAACTGGCAAAACCAAGAGCGAGTATGGAAGCTTGCAGCTTTGCTGGTTACAGTTTGCCAAAGGTGCAAAACCCTGGACTCCTATAAGAAGGCATGTCTCACTGTGGAAAGGTTGCTCCTCCACATCCAGCCCTCTCCACCAGCTTGTGGGGCTGTCTCTAGCCATATGCTGCTCCTCTCAGCAGAGGCAAGAGAAGCAGGATGTGCTGCTTCCCCTGAGGCATGGGGAGGGTATATGCAGGTGAGGGGTAGCAGCTCTCTCTCACAAGCTGATGTTGTGGCCATCTATCCTCTTTCCTAGCCCATCCTCAGGGGCTGCTTGTGTGGGCAGGTTGGCTGCTGTGGGAAAACCTTCCTCCCCACGAGCGCTCTGTCCTCCATGTGCTTCTTAGAAGCTCTGAGTCAGGTCTGCCAAAGCTGCTTATAGCACTACAGGCCTGTCAAATCCAGCAGGACTGCTGGATTAAACTCATTTGCCCCTTTTTTTTTTTGGAAGCTCAGTCATTTGCCTTTGCTCAAAGTTTTACTGCTCTTCCATGTGTTATTTTCCTGTCTAGCAGCATCAGATAATCCCATTATGTCACAGACAGATTATCAGCCACCAAAAGGGCCAGGCACCTGCTTAGAGGGAAAATAGAAATTAGTGGCGTGGTTTGGACATTTGCATGTAGTTTGCAGTTCAAGCAAAACAGCAAAGAAGACATGGCATAATTCAGGTAAACCAAGCAAAGAGAAGAGAGATGCCTTACTAACTTGCAATTAATTAGACTGCCAGACAGCAAGAGTGAATGCTCTTCTGAGCAATATTGTAACTGGAATCAGGCCAGAATTGAGTAAATAATACACTTTCAGAAACATGAGAAGACCATGATCTTGGCACTGCTCATCCTCTGGTTTATTATAGGTGAGGGTTAAGAAGGTGGTTTCCAGACGTCATAGCCAAGTGTGGAAATTGTTTAAATGAGACCTGTTATGTGGAAACAATTCCCCTTCAAATAAAATTGTTGTGGAAGCTGTGTTAAGGAACAGTGTGATTACTGCCAGCAGTATTGCCTGGGCTTGTGACAAGCCCATCAGCAACTTAAAATGTATGCAGTCACGGGAGAGCACCTCTCATATTTGGAGATTGACTATGAAGAGTTCTTTTCTGAAAATATTTTTTTTCCTTTCCTGTAATTGAGTTTGCCAATCCACTATCTCCTCTTCATGGTGAGTAAATTTAAACACTGCCTATTAGAAAAGAAGCTTCTGCTAGAAAGAGAGCCTGGAAAATGCCTCTTGGCTATTGAGCCTTTTCTGGCAGGTACAGCTGGTGCAGCCATCATGTATATCACCACCCATTTCTGCTGTCAGAATAAAATGAGAGAGAGATGTAACAAAAGCATGCTAAGGACAAGATACATGATTTTGTAGAGGTGTAAAAGAGCTTACAGGTGCTTTTTCATGCAGGAGTGAAATAACTAAGGAGTAAGGTGTCATGGTCCACTCGCAGAACATATTTCTATATCCACTGGGTGCAGACTCTCCTAGTACAGGGGAAACGTGTCCCTTCAGGCACAGAAACAAGGGCAGTGCCAACATATTCTCTGTCTGAGAATAAGACATCAAAGCAAAACGTCTGTTCGGGAGTTTCAGAGGCTCCACGCAGTGTTCTTGTCTTCAGTTCCTCTGTTGGGCTAGAGGGAAAAGCTAATAGCATCTGTTTTTTTACATCTCTACAGGACAATGCCTGTGCTTTCAGCATTTACAACTCAGTGACTCTACTGAGAAACTAGAAAAGTGCTGGCATTGATATTTTGACCTGCTGCAAAACACCAGGAAATGAGGACAGTAGGCTTGGGTCACCAACCTTGATAAGGCAGTACAGATAGTATCTGACCTGGAAAAAAATACACATATGCTAGCTGGGCATATCAAATGAGGCTGAAAGATGTTAAAAGGTCATGGTACTGTTCCTCCCTGTGAAACTAGAGAGCACTGACACCCTGCTCCTTCTCCTCTGGGGAGATTCTGTTCCACATATCAGGTAAAAGGTTGGAACATTTTAAAATCAAGGGCAAGGTTTTAGAATCTGGTTCAAGAAAGCAGAGTCCTCCTTTGGGCCACCTAAATAATGGTCATAGGCAGGGCTTGGTTTTTGAGTTGCACAGGAAGAAATAGGAAAACAGGGAAATAAACCTCATGATAGAATAATGTTCGATTTGTTTTCCCATGCAAAGAGCTCCATTTGAATATGCATTTCTACTAGCCTCCATATAGCTCTGCCTGAACAGAAGCAAGTGACAGGATTTGGAAAGGAGAAACATTTTCTGCTGCTTCAACTTTATATATCTCAGCTCTCGGATTATGCACTGCAATTCTAAAAAAGGTTTTGGAGTGACTCTGGATATCTCTCTGAAAACACCAGCTGCGTGCTCTGGTGTAGTCATGAAGCAATTAGAAATTTAGCAACAGCTGTGAAAGAAAGTGAAAATAAAGTAGAAAGCATATCATGTCAATGTATTAATCCAAGGTATGCTGATATCTGAAATAGTACAGTTCTGTTTGTCACATCTCAAAATGTACAGTCTGAAACTAGAAACGGGTCAGATATCTGCAAGATGGGTAGTGGGAGGCATGGAATACCTTCCAGCAGGGGAAGTTAAGACACTGGGGCTGCAAAACCCAAAGGATTTATCAAGGGAGACATTTATCTACATAAACTTTATTTTTGCCTGTTCTTGACCATTGGTGGAAAAGGAAACTGGTCTAAAAGCACCACTGGCCTTATTCAATGAAATACTTCTCAAAGAGGCCTTCCTTAGTCCAGATCAAGTTTCTGGAAGAGCAAATGACTGAAGCAAATTGTTCAGAGTGTTGTGTCAGCAGTCTGAGAAGAGCAGAAAATTACAGGATCTACATGGATTCATTATTCAATTCATAGTTAGCATCTGCACTTCGGATAGCTGAGTGCTCTCTCTTCTGTACCACTCCAAAGCACTGGGGTCCAGTCCTTGTTCTTAGAAGACAACACAACAGCTTTTGCTTCAGCTGCCACTTCCAGGGAAAGAAGAAGAGAGGAAAAGGCATCTAGAAAGGTGCTTTTCTGATCCTGAGCACACAGACACAAGGGCTGACCAAAGGATGCCATAACATGAAGGATCCAGGAGTAGTAATCCAGAGAATGATTGGATTACTGCAACAAAAGGTGCCTCAATCAAGAGACATGAAGTTTATAAAACTGGGAAGAGAATGGGAATCAGTTGTGCATGGTGTTTTTATCATAGTCACTATACCTCAATAAAAGTCCCAGTTCCATCCCTCTGATGAAGATCAAATCTGAAGGATTTAGATGTTTTCATAAAGCCAGCTGTGAAAGGCAGAAAAAATTGAGGGTGAGATATTCAAACACTTGGAGTGTTTGATCAAGAAAACAACTATCAAACAAACAGAACCTATAGCAGTTTGCTACATGAGTGTGTAATCTGGACTTTAAATGAAAACTAAGTTGACAGCGTGGCCAAACCCCTTTAGGAATAAAGGGCTAGTCTGGATTCAACAGTGGTGTAAATGCCTGAGCTGAAATATTCATCACATTTCAAGTACTTTTATGAAAAGAGAAACTTCTTGACTTTTTAAGTGAAGTTCAAATGATTCTGTGATCCTTCTTGCTCTAGAAACAACCAGGAATCAAGCGGCCTCCTAAAGGGTTCAGCCTAAACCCCTGAGGAAAACTGATGGCAATCAGAGTCAAAACTTCAGGTTTGTCCCATTTTAAAATAGGACAGGAGTAAAAGTCACCTGCTAAGTAAAGAACTGCAGCTCCTTACAGACTATAGTCCAATTATGAAAAATAATGAGAATCGTTTGCCTTTGATGTTTCTCATCACTTATTTGATGATGAGTTATCCCAATGCATTTGTGGTTTGCCATAGTGATTGTACCACATCATTCTCCAACCCAGGAGTGAGGCCATTGCATACTCTGTTTCACTGTGACTCTTCCTTTTTATTGTACTATGCCTGGACTGTTCCCAAGTGTTTTCTGCTTGGATTTCTGTCCCGAAAGCTGGATCCGCCTCTCTTGGACTCTCTCCATGGCTGCCTTGGGTAGCACCTGGTGTCAGGCCCTGGAGCAGACAACATCTCTTTCCTGCAGACGTGGTCTGCGCCTTGGCTGACCCAGTGGTGCCTGACGTACAAAACCCTTGGCCCTAGTCCTGCACTATGTGCCACAGTCCCTTTCTGGCTGTGCTCTTCTTAACATGGAAACCAGGATACAGGGGGAGGAGGAGGGAAGGAGTGCATGGTTGCTTTTACACCCAAGTGTTTCTTGTCAGCAGTGCTGTAGGCTCGGTGATAGTGGCTATAAAGTGGGCACCTGGGGAGCACAGAGGAGAGAGCTGCCTCGCTGCAGTGCTGGGCAAGCTGAATACAATTGAGTCTGATGAGATGGGAACTAAGAGAAAGGAAGAGAAACTTCTACTGACTGTGTTGGAAGTGGCAGGGCAAAAAGTGAGGTCTGGAAAGCCCTGGACTAATCAGCCTTGTTGAGAAACCATGTGCCTTAATTCTGCTCCTGTATCTTTGCGTGTAAGTGCTAAAATTAGGCTGTGTAGACAAATCTCTGGACCAGAAGTAGACACACATATGATTAGTCTTGGTGATGTTGATACAGAAGTGAATAGACACTTTGTGGATTTATAAAAGGCTGACAGAGAATTAGCATATTCCATAGACCTGGGAGTTTGAGATATATTGCTTTGGGAAAGGAGATATTTGGAGTTTTGTTAACACAGTTTGTAACCATGTTAAAAATGAACACAAAATGATTCATAGTCTTCAGAATCTCTCCCAGGCTGAAGCCTTCCTTCTGGTTTGCTCTTCCTTTCCACTCATTCTCTATTTGTGCTATATTAAATGGTACTACTTCACTCAGCTCTCCACTTCCAATGGATTGGGGTGATATGGGAGAGCAGTGGGAATGGCAACACTGGTTACTGAGAAATGCACTGCCCTACAATTTCGGTAGAGAGACTTAAATCAATAATTACTTTGAATATATTTGCACACCACCATTTTGTTTCAGGACCAGACAATATCAGGATTGTAAATTATGGAAAAATAGGGGCTGTGAGTTCAGATACAATCTTCAGTGGTCTCAGTGACTTCAGGATCTACCAAAACTGGGTATGCAAACTCTCCAAGTCCCAAACCAAGACCTATTAGATGTACATTAATATCAAGTATATTTATTTTCTTTATTTAGATTTAATATCAAGGGGCATCAGTGGTATGTCTGTAATGATGAGTTTGTCAAAAGTCTGTTTAGTTATGTGTTTAATAACTCTGAAGCCATGGCTCTTAAAAATTACATATTCTTGCTTATAAAACAAGAGAGCAAAACAGTTTTAATACTTCAGTCATATTCTGGAGTGCTTCTTAACAGCTTTTTCCCCCTCTGAATTTAACAATATTATTTTTATTTCAGACTGAAAAACTCCAATTTAATGATAGAAGATCAATCCTATAAGATGAGTCCCAAAGCAAAGAGAGCAAAACAGAATTTGATATCTGAGGACAAAGAGAATGAAGCCATAGACTACTCAGTGCCCATATTCACAGGGCGGTATGTTCATTTTCCTTATGTTTTGTATCTTATTTCTGACATTTTATTAACAAATTATAAAATAACAAATTCATTAATCTATTTTTATACTCATGGATCTCATGGTGATTGTTTGCACTTCACATGAGTAATAAACAGACAAAGAGAAGTCAACTGACTGGCAGAAAATCAGACATTGATCATCCAGAGTCAGGACAAATGGACCTACATGTCTGGACTTTGTTTTGAACATATCATCAGGGACACTTTCTATGAAATAAAGATATAATTATAACCCTGCTTATCTGGAACCTGACAAGTATGTTGTCCACATTAATTATTCTTTTGGTTTGAAGACTTGTTCTGTAATCCAGTGTCTCTTACCAAGCATTAAACATAGAAACAATGAAACAATGTGCTAATGTCTTGTCCTGGCACAGGGAAAACCTGGAATAAAACCAAATACTTTCTCAAATTCATTGTAATGATTCATACTGATCTCATGTGTGCATGGTATTTATTGCATGGTTGCTACTGATGTAATACATTTTACTGCAGCAGTGTCCTCAGTAAAGTTGAATGTGAACTTTATGTGGAAGCCAGAACCAACAGGACAAGAAGGCTCCCCTGTTCCTTTTGGGATATGACACAGTGATTTGAGTAGGAGTCTCCAGTAGTTCCAGCATAGCCACTTGTTCAGATTAATACATACTGGGGGGTACTGTGGAAAAATGGTTCCTGGTTGGAGGCCAGAAGAAAAATTTCTTGCCCACCTGCAGCCGAATAGAAATCTTCCTTCAATTTTTTTCCTCTGCAGCACAGCACTGTGGGACACTTCCAAGTTGTTTCTGGGAGCTCATGCTTTTCTGTCTACTGCTTAATCAACAGCCCAATGGCACTTCTCCTTTGTATCCAAACTTTCGGTTTCATGTAAAACAGAGTTGCAGCTTGTCAATGGAAGATGTTATTTCTTTGGCTTTTGGAGCATTTGTGATACTTCTGTGATTAGACCAGCAATTTTGGTTTCTATGGACTCCCTCCCACTGCCTCAGAGTCTTTTTTTCCCCAGTCGCTTGTGCATTACTGTGTTGGATTCACTGCTCTTTGATCCAAACATTCAGAGACACACTGTTGCTTTTTTGAAAAAAGAAAAATTGCTTTGGAGTTTCAGCTATATCTTCCATGACAGAAACACATAGTTCTGTGATAGTCTTACACAAAATCTGTGATAACATATTCTCAAGGCTTCTCACTACTTTTTCATCTCACCTGGTGTTTATGCTTATGTAGCAGTAGATTTGCAGTTCATTATCATCTGTTGCCCTTGCCCTCAAGCACAAGTATCCTCCCTTTTCCCTTTTTATTGTGTCTTGAGTCTGCAGAAGTAAAATTTAGAGTGTTGGGCAGTAGTTGAAAAACATGACTGATGGTTAGTACTCCGGGATGATGGTCTTACCTTTTTTTACAGGCCCCTGTGATCCTAACACATCATGTTAATATCTTAACAAATCTTTTTTTTTGTTTGCTTAATGCATACAGTAACATCCAACTCAATGTGATGGTGTGTAGCTTCATTTATTTGTCTCTGTGCAATACTTTGGGATCCTACGTGAAAAGATGGTGTCAGATTCTTACATCACTATTTCTATTCTTCTTCATGTTTTTTGCATCAATCTTGCTTTTTGCACATGGCTACTCAGGAAGTTGTATCTGTTCCTCTGCCACTGAAGTGACCCAAAAAGTTTGATGTTGTTTCTGTCTTTTTAAATTAGATGTTTGTTAGGGTGTCCAACTCAACATGGCATGAAATGGCATTTGGTTTAGGCTTTTTTTCTGTTGGCATCATGCTCATGACTGCATGCCAAGACAGAGGAAGTTGCATGCCACATTCCTCTCAGATACTTATTTTTGTTTGAAAGATAACAGCTGAAGCCCATTCAACCACGAGCACGTTATATGTCACTCCTAAATTCCCCTGTGAAACTGATGTGTTGTTTCCCATGGGCAGATAGCTGTTATAAGGAGTAGTTATTTATAAAGGTCAGCTCTCCATGGGTTCATTGGAGCTATTGCCCATGCTGCTGGATGACCTTCAGAAATGTGTCACCATTTCCATGATTTCATTCTATTTTGGAACCCTTGGGTTCTGCTGTAAAAAAACTCCTTTGCTCAGGTTATTCACTTCACAACTGTTCCTCTTAAACACCTGGGCTAATCCTTGCAAGACAAAATTATGGACAGCCAGCCAGTATTCCAGGCAATAAAACACACAGAACTTGATTTAATGCCATATGTGCTAAAGATACTGGATGTGGCTCATGGAACTATTAGTAACTGCTAATATGCCTATGCCAAAGCACTGTAGATGACAGATACTCTTTAAATGATATTTTGTATGTGCCATTTGGGGTTTGATCTTGTGTCTGTTTGAAAAACATTTTCTACTGACACCCCTGAGACTTAACTGCAGAATCAATTTTTAAATGGTACTGTGTGCTGTTTTCGTGCATTCATCGTTTCAGAGAACGTGTTTCTCTTTGAGCTGGGAAGATTATAACAGGAAGAAATTATTAGAAAATCTAAATATTTAATACTGTTGATCAAAAGCATCTGGGGACCACAACTGCAGATGACTAGGCTGAGGCTGAAGATATTCATCAGCTCCCAGAAGATGCTTTATGCCTTGAGGAAGCAGTCCATACTGTGAAGTCGCTGAGATCTAAACTACTGCAATTAAGGAGGAAATAATATCAGCTTGCCTTTAAAGAAAAACACCATGGATTCATTTAAACTGAATGTAGATAGCTACATTCATATTCATTAAACTTATATTTAAAATTGTTTTTAAAAATCTCTTTAGCTTCAGATGATATTTGTGAGTGGAGCTGATGTGCAGGTGAAGGGAATCTCATTCCACTGTTCTTTAAGGATCATCCTCTTAAAGCAGCCTGACACACAGGAAGTTGAGTGTGAGGGAGGTCAAAGCTCTATGCTGCTAAGTAAGATTTTTAATCTTTTCAGCAATTTTAAAGAAATTAAGTTTGCAAGCCATTGTGCTTGGCAATACAGCCAAGCACATTCCACTGCTTGGCTGTTTTGCATCTCACCAAACTAACTTCATAGATAATGGGCAGGACATTTACTTGTGAGCTTAAATCGAAATTTTCTTAAGTGCTATCAAATTCATAATATTGGCAATATTAAATAAAACAGAAAAAAAAATCATTCTTTCTAATATTTTTACTTTGTAGTGGTAGTAAGTGTTTTATGATACAAGAGAGAGGCTGTGCTTGAGTGCACCCTGGAAACAGAGGCTGCTGTCTCTACAGTGCTTGCAAGATGGCACTTAATGAGAACTTAAACAGAGCCTGTTTTCAGTGTGCCATCTAATGTTACCTTAAAGTAAATTCAGCAGAAGCATATTAATGCTTCTTCCTAAGTCAAGGAACACTCCTTGTATCTGCCCTACTATAGTATCTAGGATGTCCTGACAGTGCCAAAGCAATATGGTTGCAATGGTGCATTCACATGGGAGTGTGGAAACTGGATTGGACCAATCAAGAGTAACCTTTCTTTGTGTCTCACCTCTGTAGAAAGCCTGAAGATGAGGCTTCATGAAAATCCTTAATTACCTTCTTGAAAGCATTACAGGACTGAATTTTCTATGAACAAAGAGAACATTTTGTTATATACATTAACATGGGGTGTTTTTTGTAAATCACAAGTGAGGACATTGTTATACAGCTACAATTATCTCCTGTCCCTTTGTAGTGTTGTTACGAATTCTGGAGCTGTAAGTCAATAACTGAAGATCTGTGGGTAAGCCTTACACTAATCTTTATTGTGATGGAGATGTAAAACTACAACAGGACAATGGTTTAACTGAAAATGTGTACAGCATAGACATAGGGGGAGGCACTGAAAATGGCCACAAATTTAGGCAGTGAAGTATTTGGTCTTTCTGCAGAATCCTTCCATCTTTCTGCTTTGAATACATTTGAGACTGTAGTAGCAGAAATATGGTATGCAAGAGTGTTGGCCACTGTAGCTGGTTAATTTGATAGAAAGTATAAATGGAATATGTTCTCAGCATTTTTCAATGGGATTCTTCTTTTTAAAAATTTTTTCAGACATGTGAATATCAGCGGGATCACAGACACGGAAGAAGAGAGAATTAAAGAGAGTGCTGCATATGTTGCCCAGAGGAACCTTTTTGCCACAGGTGAAGGAATTAGTGTCAGCAAGGTGGCCAAGACAACTTCTGAAGAGGAACATCATGAAAAAAAATCAAGGAAAGTAGCAATCCGGGAGTCTGCTGAGCGTGTGGCCATGAAGAAAACGGTAAAAGAGTAGAAATTAACATCTAGGCTGTAAACAGCAATGGTCTTCTTGTTTGGTGTTTGTAAAGTGCCTAGCACAACATGGCCCTGATTTACTCCATGAGCAATCATAATAATGGTAGTAAAAAACCCAAGTGTTTTCAATTGAAGTCTTTTGAATGACTTAAAAGTCTTGTTATCTAGGCAGGCACCAAGAATGCTTCTGTTGTGCTGGGAGAAAAAGACAAGAGTAGGGGACCAGGGAAAGCTCTTTGGTCATGCCCAGACGTATTAAATGGCACAACATCCTTCACCTGGAAGATGAAGCACTTGCTAGGCAGAGAAGAAAGGTGCCAGTATATTTATCTTGTCCATAAATAGATGATAATTTCTGAACTTTTCTAGCCTGAGAACAAGCTTGTCCAAAGAGCTCACCCCAGAGGTTTAATCACAGGGTGTAAATTAGGGCAGAATTAGGGTAAATTAAGCATAAATTAGGGAGGAACATCTGGAACTGAATCTCTAATTGTGTGCATTATTGTACAACTTCTTAAAAAATAATACTCAGAGCATAGTTAAAAATATGTTATGATCAGGCTGGAAGAATATATCAAGTGCAAATACGTTTCAGATAGCAAATTATTACTGTTTTGAGCAGAACTGGCAATATTCTTATAAAATATCCTCATAAGATGAGGTTGGAAAGGGTATAAACACTTTGAAGGACAAGGTAAAAATTCAAAATCATCTCAAAAACTGAGAAACAGTGAAGGTGAAATTTGATCACAAATTACTGCACAGAGAAGGAAAAGAACAAGTAAATGCCTGGCTAGGTAGAAGTACCTCAGGATCTGAGAGTTCTAAAAGGTCACATATTTAATGTCAGTCAATTTAATGCCAGTCTTATAAAAACAAAGGTCACTCTTGAGCATTATCACTCACACATAGGGGGCAGTTATTTAATCGTGTGGGAGTCTGTTGGTCCTCTGGTAATGGGTAGTTACTGCTTGATGAACTGTTTGAAGACAAATAGAACCTGTCCAGAACTGAGAAACAATTGTAAGGGAAATTGGTATTGCACAGTTTTAAGACTGAGAGGATTATGAAAGTTGTTTTTAAAATCTGAATACAGGGACCTGTAATTCTCCATGTATGTGAAAGTTAGGGCAGAAAAGAAATAGTTCAGTTGGCAGAAAGCAAGATTTATAGCATGGTAGGAGGTTTTCCCCAGCTCTGTGGATAGTCAAGAAGTTGAAACAGTTACCCTGAGGGGATGAAAGATCTCATCAGGAGGAAAGGTTTGAGAGCAGGTCTGTCAGAGATGATCAATGCATACACAATCTTGCATTGGAGCAGAAGTACAGAAGGCACCTGAGTTTCAGACCTTTTTCACCTTTCACTCTGTATTTAAAATAATAAATAAATAATGAAATGTGGAAGATTATTTTTCTTAGAATAGTTTTCAGGTAAAAAAGCCTGCTAAAATGAAATCTAGCTAATTTGGAAGCAGAACTTCTGGAAGATGACACTTGGTTTTCTGTGTCCGGGTGAGATAAATACATTAAGTATGTCTGCCTCGATTTTAAAATAAAACTTGCAGGGGTTTTTTTTGTATTTATTTTTTTATGTATTAATAATTTGTGATTTTAACTTCTGTTACAAGCAAGTTTATAATAAAATGTTTCTTTTCCAGCTAGAAGAGACTCAGGCATTCCACAAAAAGTTGAATCAAGATAAACTCTTACATCCTCCTGAATTTATTATTGAGCCTCGTTCCCACACTATCTGGGAAAAGGAAAATGTAAAATTTCATTGTTCTGTGGCTGGCTGGCCAGCACCCCGGGTTACATGGTGAGTTGTATCTCTGGTACTGAAAGTCACCACATAACCAGTATCTGAAGTTGTCTCAGTGAATGTGGTCATTCTTTCCAGAAAGTTGTAAGTTCAATAAAAGAATCAGGTGCAAAGGTCAAACACCTTTCAAGTCACCTTGTACAAAAAGAGAGCAAAACATTGAAGGACAAAATAATGCTTTATGTAACAGCAATAGGAATACATAGATTCGGTTTTTTATTTATTTGATTGAGGCATAAAATATATTTTTTTCTGTCTGCTGATGAAGGAAAAATAGCAGATTAATTTATCATACTGTCCTTAAAAGAATGTTTTCCAAATAATTCTGTTTGGTCTACAAATTACATTGATGTCCCTGGAGCATTAAAGCAGGTTTTGGTCAAGACCAAGCTGCTTAGCTGCTGAGCAGTTATAGTACTGAACCTCCAAGAAACTGAAATCTCATGGTGCAGGGTGTGAAATCTCAATAATAATGATGTGTTCATAGCAGACACGTAATCGTTATTTGAAGTGAAAAGATTGCAGGCAGATCCAGAAACAATCAAATCTTCTGAGAGCTTTGGAGTCTATTGGAAACTTTCTATTAACTTGAATGGTCTTTGGACTAAAGCTTTACTGTAAGAACTCCAGAATACCTCCTTAGTCGTCGCTGAAAGTCTGATTTGACTTTTGGGTTAAAGTTTACCCTGACTGGAATTGAATTTAGCTTAATTAACAGTGACTTGTGAAGCTTTACAGTCTCATCATCTATTGAGCCAATCTTATGTTTCATGGTACACAGATACCATCAAGTTGTTAAGGTAAAAAATAATAATTTTTTTCAAACATAAAATGAGACTTGATGCCCATTGTTTGGTTTAAAAGATTCTCCTAGAGCATATGTACAAAATGCGGACGTGTGTTTTTAAAATTAACAAAGAATAAGGCTGTGTTCAGCTTTAAGTATTAATTAGGAATAAGTCCTACGGAGCTTCAATTTGTGGAGACAACAGAAAACATCTACTATATCATGATGTTATGTAATACTCATATTTTGCAATTTACTACTTGAACTGTATAAGGGACTCTCTGTTTCTTTAGGTCTTAAAAATCTTAATCTCAGGGTTTGAGAAAAAATGCTACTAGGAGCTACGTTAATAGGCCAGAGCTGCTGCCCACAGAGTCACTTGATCTCTCTCCTTAGACTCTGACAACCGATAGCCTGCATGGACACATTTTTCCCGTCATGTAAGGATTGTAAGTGCTCTGTGTTGACATTCCTCCTGGAGAGGATACCAGATCTGGTCTCAGCTGGATATAAGGAATGGTCAGCTATGCTCATGGCTGTAATCCAGCTCTGTAACCTGAATCCTATCCCAGAACGCGAGAGCTGGGTCATTTTTACTTCGGTTGAGATTCACCTTATCCTGAAAACCTGACATGGCTAAACCAAGCCTTCAGCTGTCTTCCTTTGCTCTCAGTGTGAACCAGCCTTTCATCCAAGTGCTAAATGTGGATGGTGAAAATTAATACATCGTTTTACTGTACATTGGAATTCCAAAGGGATTTCATTTTGCCACAGGCTACTAATGGAAAAAAAGTGTTCACAACCATTTCAGAAGGTGTCTTTGCTCTGAGATATAGAGCAATGCTGACCTGGATCTGCCAGCTTTCATTCAGCATTTCTAACAAAATGTCGATCGAGTATTCCAAACAGTCATTTTTTGTACAAGCAGTGAAGACCTTTACATCCTCTGCCTGAAAAATTATAAAGCTACATGAGCTTTCTCTAGAGAAAACCTTACGGTCTAATGCAGCTGTTCTGACTCCCTTGGAAAAAAAAAAAGCATATGGAAAGCCCAGGACATTTGAAACCAGTAGCAGAAAGCATAAACTATCAGTGCCTAATGACAGTTACAGTCCAACCTTAGCTAATGACTTGTCTGTTCTGGAATTTGCATTTCCACAAATAACAAGTGGTCCTTCTAACACATGAGCCCTATTCTTTCATAGATTAATATAAATAAGTGAAAATTGAATCAATTATTTTTTACTAACCTGATTATGTTGACAAAATAAGTGAGTCTTCTTGCTTCTGGTATGACTCAGTTAAAGCTTGTGTCTGCACAGCACCCCATGCTATCAAACTCTTTCACTGCCAATAGGATACAAGGACTCCCCAGCCCTTTGAAGAAAATTTAAAGAAATTATGGAATCAATTCCTGTTTCACAGGATTTCATATTCTCTGGAAAATAATAGGAACTGAGGGCATTATTCTATTTTCTAAACTATTTGACAACACTAGATGCAATACAAAGGTGTTTCCAGGAACTTCTGGTGTCTGGGGTACACCATCTCACAGATGAGGTGAAGAGTGGTGAGTGGGTGCTGGGCCCATGTATTATTCTTTGCCTAGGGCAGGACAAAAGAGTAGGAGATCTGTAATGAGGTCAAGCATCTCTGCAACTGATTGAAGTCCAGAATAGAGAGTATTGCCCTGCACTGAGTCCCTTTTCATAGACATTTTGCTGAGGGAAAGATCAGGATGAAAAGCATTAGGGTTTATGGTCCTTGCTCACCTCGGCACTTGAAAAAAATCCCAGTGTATTGCTTTGCCCAAATATTTGTAGCCAGGGAAATATTCTTTATTGCACAGCACTAACAGTGCTGAAAGACAATTTTCAGATTTATTGCAGATATAGGTTCATCTTGAGATATATTAAACTAATTATATTCTTGGTAAAAATAAAATTGCTAATTACTGACTTGTTTGGTAAATTGGGGCAAGCCACTGGCACCAGAAGAGTTTCCTTTCCTGATTGAAAATCGTGAGAGATTTAAAATTTAAAATCTGAAATGAAGAAGCAAAGCTCTTTGTCTGGTTATCTGTTGAGGGGACAGAGGTTTATTTAAGCAATATCAAAGCAAGCAATGAAGATACTTTTATCTATCATAATTTATTATTCTGCTTTCGTTATATATGTACCTTACAGAGCACAGAGAAAGTAGGACACTCTCTTAGGAAACACTTTTTCTTTATAGACCTCAAAGCAATCCCAAATATACTGAATACAACTGGGTGTGTAATTTATTAAACTTCTATTGCCAGTTTATTCCATTCCACCAGCACTTACCTAAGATAGGATTCACTCTAAAATTTACTTGATTACACCATGTATTGTCCAGAATGCGCAACATTTTATGCAACAATTGGTGAGGAAGAATTTACCATGAATCACTGAACTCCCCTCTGTGAGTCTCAAGCTGTTTATATAAATGCTGAAATTAGCAGTGCCAGCACACTCTGATCATTACTGGTTCATTTGTTCCTTCAAATTTCTTACTGGAAATTCTGAACAGAACACTTTTTCTACCTGAAGATATACCTGTACCAGAAAACACTCATAGTATACACGTGTAAAGGTAGAGAAGTTTTTGGTAGCACAGCTTTTCCAGATCCCTTGCTGCAATACATTTACCACCAAGACAATTTTTCTTTACCAGTCTAATCCCATGGGGTCTTCTGTCAACTTTGCTATGCAAGTAAAAAAAAAAAAAAGTTAACTTGCTATCTGATATTTTTGTGAATATGCAGGTTTTGAAAGGAAATCAAATATGCAAGCCAAACAAAATGTGTATGATACCTAGTAGGTAAGGATGCTACAGAATTTTTGTTTGCAATTTACAGCACAGAGATGTTGCTCATGTGATGACTCCTTTCCTTTCCAAGTAGTAATATGAAGTTCATGGTAATATAAACTGATTTTCATCCCACTCAAGACTAATTTCTCCTTTTAATTAGAAAATAAAATTTACCCAGGGCTGGTCAAATAGAAAGACAGAGAAGTTACACTTCCGAAGATTTGCAATGTCTTCCCAGGGTGTTAGACTACAGTTTATGTAGGAGAAATATGCAGAAACTGATGTTCTATTTCAAATATCAAGCACTTGACTTTGTAAAGTATATGACTATACACTTCTCTTTGTGACATACTGTTTCTTTTCTTTTCCATAGGTACAAAAACAATGTGCCCATCGACGTACAGACTCACCCTGGCAAGTATATCATTGAAAGTCGCTATGGGCTGCACTCACTGGAGATCAGCACGTAAGGGAATACTAGATAATTTAACAAACAGCTTTAACTAAAATGTTGCTATAGATTTAGACCTGGAATATGTGAACATATCCCTTGGGGATGTAAGAAATATCAAGTTTGTACAGCTGAAGTGAATGTTGTCTACTAAATGTTGAAGCAGTTCTGGTTTTCCTCAGTAGAGGATATGCAATTTACCTAAGTGAGTAATTTATCTGGATTATTTATCTGGATATTCTATTTATGGGTGAGTCAGAAACACATGGAATATTTGTGAATACTTTTTCTATTTGTCTGCTTGATAAGTACAGTTAAATGTGAAAAAAATACAGTTTAGGGTAATAATATATGAATTAATTGTTTTTCAAATATAGCAAAGTTCATGATTCTTAATGAAATGAGGAACAGAACTGAGATGCCCTCACTTAGACACAAGAAATATCTTTAATGGCACTCATTCTTCAAATGGGAAATTTTTGCAGTCACTTTGCATTTAAAACATTGAAAACATGAGACCTAATTAGCAACAATCTAGATTTGGTAATTTAGACACTGGAAGGTACCCTTTGAAATATATTTTATGACATCTACCATTTTTATACCTTCCACATTAGGTATCTCTCCACAGGAGACAGTAAATTAGAGATAACTTAGATAAATATTATCAGACAGTTTTTCCTGCTTGTGCTGTATCCTCCATTTCAAATGTGTAAGTGATATTTGAAAAGAGAGATTTATTTCCAACATTGTGTTTTGACATTAAGAAAAACTTTATGGCCACAATCAGTCCCATGTCTAGTGTGTGTGTCTCCCAAGCTTTTACTTTACAGATTTGACACAGATTGCTGAGGGTTTCTTTAATGTAAAACATAGGAGAGGCTATGCCAAGGAGTAAATGGGTGCTCTGCCTAATAATTTCTGTCATTCCAGGTGTGAATTTGATGATACTGCTCAGTATCGAGCCTCTGCTATGAATGTTAAAGGAGAAGTTTCGGTTTATGCTTCCCTTGTGGTAAAGAGTAGGTTACAAAATATTTCTTTGAATTTTTTTTTCTTAAGGTGAACATTACCAGTTTGGTTTTGTGGCTCAGAGAGCCTTCACCTCTTGGTGATAGTGACTGGAATTTTCTTTTTCTGTATAGGGTACAAAGGAGAAATTGATGAAAGTCTTTTGCGTGCTCGAAATCTTTCCATGTCTCTGGGTCGTAAGTTACAATATATGTTTGTTTGACACTTCCATTTATAGTTGTGACATCATGACAAATGACTGAACAGAATATTTAGTAACATTATTTAAAAAGGAAGCAGGTCTGATTCACAAAGGCCCTGAGCTCTACAATTTCAGATGGTGTTAGCCTCATCTGTAGGGGAAAATGTTATTGCCTTCTAGGTCTATTGGTTTATATTTTATTATTGCACTTCCCTGTGAAATAAAATATGTTAAAGAGAGAGAGAGAGAGAGACACTTCATCCTTTGCAATATGTAAAACATGGCCTGGGAAAACCCTTGCGGGAGCGTGTGTCAAGTAGAGTAGGTGACTTAATCATTCTAGTCTGCTGCTATATATATGATTCCATATATTGCAAAAATGCATGGAAAAGATCAAATATCCAGAACCCAATTTGACTATTTTGGATATATCAAGGTAAAAATTGTAGTTCATTTTACCTGAGAGCCTCACATTTTGAAGTGATGTACAGTATTGCATAGATGCTTCCATGATGTTAAGACAATCGACCCACATATGCCATGTGGGTGAAGTGCCCTAGGGATGCTGTGCATGGAAGATGAGACTTCTGGGCTTTTCTTTTATTGTGGCAGCACAAATAGAATTAGAGATGTGCTGCAAAGGCATATTAGCTGGCATTTGTATACTGAAGCTCTGAAATAACAGAAACAAGATTATGTACCACATTGCAAATTGCAAGGCCATACATTTCCAGTATAATTCAGAATTTATCACTTGGTTATGGAAAAGGAAGATGATGATCTGTGTATATTCACTGATCACAGGAAGAACAAGAGCTATCAGTGTAGGCCAGTGACGTAAAAGCAAAACGTGACCTTAGGCTTTATCAGCTGAGCTGTTTCCAAAAGAAGCATGGAAGCTCCTGTGCCATGATGTGCAGTACAAGTGTGAGGCACTTAGGATATTCTGTCTGGAAAACTGCACAACTTGGGTCACAAAGATAAATTAGGAGCAAGTACAGAAACAGGTTACCTGAATGCCTGGGGGATTGGAGAGCTCATTTTTATATAAATAGCCACCCAAAAGGCTTATAAAAACAAAGGCTGAGTGAACACATTACTGCTCTGAGATAAAGCAAGGAGTTAAAACATGGAAAGAAGAGAAACATATGAGCTAAAGATCAACTAGACATGAACAAATAATAAACCATGAAGAGAAGTTTTTTAGTTATAAACCAAATGTTATGACAAGACACTGGATCTGAAATTTTGAAAATTCTGAAATGATATTCTGCAGGAGCCTCTGCCTGATAAAATGAACTAGCTCTAAGAACTAAAGTTGTATGAATAAAGAAATACTTGAATCTCTGCAATAGAATGGGCTTGGATTATTTAACACTGCAATTACCTCTGAAGACAATGCCTTAGTAAATATATTGTTCCTATTTTTACCTTAACCTTTACCTGAGGCTGTATTCATAATCACTGGGTAATTTTTCTTCCTATTCCTCGCACAAAAGGAAAGAAAAAGTAATTATCCATTTTTTTCTTTGATCCAGTTGGTGTTACCCCTCATGGCTATGCTTCCAGGTTTGACATCAGCTTTGTTGACAAGTTTGATGTAGCCTTTGGGAGAGAAGGTGAGACAATGAGTCTGGGCTGCACAGTTGTCATCACCCCTGATATCAAGCGCTTCAAACCAGACATCGAATGGTACAGAAATGGTGAGAATGCTTGACAAGAAGAAATATAAACTACTTACATGTAAATCTTAGTTCAGCATATGTGAATGTTATGATTTGGTCATCAATTTCTCAGTTTTTCCAACAGTAATAGTTTCTCTTTTTCAACTAAAATTGTTTCAGAATTTAGCATTTTGACATGAAAACACAGAAAACTGATGAAGCACGGTGAAAATGTCTTCTAGGGATTCTTTCTTTCTCAAAAAATAAATTGAGAAGCATTTCAATCAGATCCAACATCTATATGGCCCATTTACAGAGTCCATGTAGCTTTTACTATTTATTTATATGCCAAGACATTTCTTAAATAGTTGTATAAATGTGTTGTATGACGGCTGATAAAAACACCTGTTGCTTTCTGAAGTTATACTTTGAAAATGAAAACAGAATTGGCACGAGAGCATTATTAGCTGTATTTTATGACTGTGTTCAAAGATAGAAAATTGTCAGATAAGAATGGTCTCTTGTGTATTGCCAATCTACTCCAGTAGATTCTCCATATTCAAAATCTATTCCTCAGTAGATCCAGCTACTTCTCATCATGAAATTCTCTATTTCCTAGGTGTTCTTATTACACCATCCAAATGGGTCCAGATGCACTGGAGTGGGGAACATGCTTCATTAACACTGACTCATGCAAACAAGGAAGATGAAGGTCTTTACACTCTACGAGTGACAATGGGAGACTACTATGAAGAGTACAGTGGTTATGTCTTTGTTCGAGGTAGGATACTGTCTTGTGAATCAAACTTACTACAGAACCAAGGAAAGCATGCTGGCAAAATCAGTCTCAGATGTTTGAGGTGTTTTTTTCCCCTCAATAAAAAGATAAAAATTATTTTCTATTAATAGATTCTAGCAACATTGTTTCCAGTTGTCTTCTCTGGAAAAAATCTAACGCATATGTCATGCTTTGGTGTCACGTGCCACAAGACTTCTAAACTCCATTGGCATTCTGAGGAGGAAATTTAGGGTATTGATGTAACCTCACTACTCCTCCTCAACTGCAGCTGGTGAAGAGTCATAAGTCATAGGGAGGAGAAATCCACATAATAACTTAAAAATGCATTTTTGTAACCATCTCACTGCTAGCTAAACTGCACTAGTTTTATCAAGATTTTGTGCACCATTTGAAGGATTCTCTCTAATGCACAGTGCAGGAAAAAATACAGTGGAAGAGAAACACAAGATCTAGGGAAGCATAATCTCATGCAGCAGTACAGGCTGGTGTCTGACTGGCTGGAAAGCTGCTTTTCAGAAAAGACCTTGGGAGTCGTGGTGGTCACCAAGGTGAACATGTACCCTTGTCACAAGGAAGGACAGTGGCATCCTGGGCTGCAGTAGGAAGTGCATTGCCAGCAGGCTGAGGAGGTGATCCTTCCCCTCTACTCACCACTGATGAGACTTATCTGGAATGCTGGATCCAGCTCTGGGATCCCCAGTACAAAAGAGACATGGACTCACTAGAGTGAGTCCAGTGAAGGGCTGTGAGTGTGATTTAGAGCTTGGAGCATGATTCATAAGAGGAAGGATGAGAGAGTTGGGACTGTTCAATCAGAAGAATAGAGGTCTTAGGAGGAGTTTATCCACATGTATAAGTATCTGATGGAGGTGAGTAAAGAAGACAGACCCAGGCTCTTTTCAGTGGTGCCAGTGCCAGGACAAGAGGCAATGCACACAAGTAAAAATAAGAAAAGCTCATTTAAACATAAGAAAACTTTCCTTTTTTTAACTGCAAGGTTGGTTGAACTGGAGCAGGTTACTCAGACAGGCTATGGAGTCTCCATCCTTGGAGATACCCAAACCCTGATTTGACATGGCCCTGGGCAACCAGCTCTAGCTGACTCTAGAGCTCCAGGGGCTCAACAAGGCAATCTTTGGAGCTCTCTGCCAATCTCAGCCATTCTGTGATTCTCTAAAGTAATGTTTCCTTTGTGTAGAAATAAAATGTAATTTCTCTGAGTCTACCATGAAAAACTTCATTGAATTTCTATTGTGAATTATTTCTTTAAAAAGAGCCATGGCTATCAGGTTGTGTGCTGACTCTATATCTGTCCCAGCTGCTAAAAGCAGCTAAAGTGTGTAATGCTAATTCAAAAGGCTCTGGAAATTCTTGGCTTTGAGACCATGCCCAGAATGACTGTGTTGCCAAGTCCAGCAGAGCTGTGTAAGATAAAAGCCTGCAACTGAAGCAGATGTTTTCATCACCCAAAGAAAGAGTCTACTGAAATGAACCTCTGACAAGAAATAGGACTTGTCTTTCTAGATTTGTTTTAAATTGTGCTGCCATATGAATAAATGATCACCCTCAATCTTACTGCATTTTATTACATCTTCTAACAATGCAGGGGTGAACTCACCCTGAACCCACTACCCCTTTCACTAGAGTATCTGACTAGCCAATGGATTTGTTTGCCACATTCTAATTAGATTAATTACATTCTACATTCCTATTTAAATGGCTCCCACAGGCTTAGTTGGCTAGTATATTCCTCACCCCTCCTCCTAAATTGTAGCCAAATTTGCTCTAAATGACTAGCTATGGTATTTAAGCTGGAGCAGTTGTATTTTTGTGTCATACAAAGAAATTCCTGTGTATTGATGGAAGTGAATGAAGCACTGATGAGGCTCATAATGTTAGGTCTTCAGACAGGCTTCAGGAGCATGTGTGACTCTTCTGCCATGGCTACAGGTCAGCATTTGTCAGCAAGCCATCAGGGATGAAATCTTAGCCTCCCAGAAGCTGATCAGTAATGCTGGTTGTCCCACCTATTTCCCAGTCTCTCTTGGAAAGAAACTGTGTTGTCTCATGTTCTGTCAAGTGGTAAATAAAGACAATTAAAAATTTTTGTGTGGAGACCACTGAAGAAGACATATTGTTATTACTCTTAATGTCCTTATTATTTTGTGATGTTAACTGGATTGCTTACTCTGTATGTTATTGTTTTTAAAAATGCATGGAGTCACCTGTAATTTAGAACCTGAACTCGGAAACTTTGGCACAGCTTCAAAAGCTGTCTGAACCTACTCTGTCTATAAGAGAAGACATGGTGTAAATTGTGGCTTTTCTGGTTTTTTTTAGGAAGACTACTGTTTTACTTAATGAAGTATGTTAAATACTCTTATAAGGCAGTTTTGTTTTTTCTTTTCTGAAAGCCAAAAGCATGAAAAATAGGGATTACTCTATATTGTAATACAAAATCTTGTACTGCTTTTTTAATAAGTCTAGGGTTTAGATGGAATGTATGAATTATATTTATTAGCAAAATAGTTTTTATTCAGGTATATGTATCTTAGGTCTCTTTTTTTTTTGAAGTAGCTCAAAACAGGGCTTGAAAAAAGCTACATGAAATTGTACAAATCGATGATATTCTACAGAGAAGGCCTCTCTTCTTTGAAAGTCTTTCACACAATCTTTCTGCAAAGGATATTTTTCTTTACATGAAAATTACCCCATCTCACAAATCAGACTCTGTGTAAACAGTAAAATTCCCCAGTGCCCAGCACTGTGCTCTTTTTTTTAAAGCTTTAGATAAGATATGTCTAGAAACTGATGCTGGAGTCAAGGCTCTTTGACACCAGCAGTCCCAGTTTTGTGATAAACACTTGAAAGGAACAATATGTTCATCCTTATGAAGGTTATATTCCACAGTGATAACGTATGCATAATATAATTAAACTTCAAAAGGTTTTGATACCTTTGCAGTTCATAGCTAACCAAAATCAAACAGTAAGGACTACATGTGGAGATAAGATATCTAATTCAGTGTTGTTATATCCAATGGGTGAATACTTCTGATTCAACTATTGCCTGGTTGTAAGGCAAGATATCAGTCTCTTCTCGTATGTAGAATACCAGGTAAATATTTAGTCTGCCAAGTTTTTAGTTCAGCTGTATCTTTGGCAGCTCCCTAATCAGAATGCAGGGTACTAATTTTATTTAAAATGCCTAGGTGAATTACATTTACAGCATGTTTTAACATAATAAGCATTTGTAAATGTGGCAAAGAGAAAACCAAAACCTAAAAAACACTGTCAATGTAAAACTGAATACTTTTTGAAGCCAGTAGCATAACTTCTTTTTTTTTGGCTCAGTAGGAACTGAGTTCCGTCCTTAAAGATTAGTAATTGTGGAAAAAACTGTTGTTCACATTTGGAAACATTTATCCATCCTCACAGATGCTGATGCTGAAATTCCTGGTGCCCCTGGTGCACCACTGGATGTGCAGTGCTTAGATGCCAACAAAGATTATGTCATTGTCTCCTGGAAGCAACCTGCTGTCGATGGAGGAAATCCCATCCTTGGATATTTCATTGACAGGTCAGTAAGCATGCTGGACTGGAGAATTCCTACTGCTGCTCATTCTAACTCAAAAAACTAAAAGCACATTGACAGGCATGAGATAAAATAGTAATTTGTTATTTTCCTTCTTGCTGCTGGCCAGAAGAAAATTACTTTTCTTGTTTTAGATTCGCTAACTTTCATGGAAACAATCACATCCTGCTCCATTTAACTGCATAGAAAGGATTCTGTGAGAAGCTGCATAGCTCAGCTCTTGCTGCTTCCTCCAAGGCTTGAGAAGCCTCAGGATTTTGCAGTGTTTGGTAGCTTACAGGATCCACTCCTTCATCAGGCAGCTGTGGCTCCTTCTGTACCTGGGCTCTCCTCTTTCCTAATAGTTACTATGTACCAGATAGCAAAATATTTTCTCAGAGGGACTTAGATTTCTTTGTTATACACTGCTGTTTTCTAAGCCCTTAGATTCACAAGCTTCATGCAGATCAGGCTCATGTGTGTTTCTCTGCATCAGTAAGAACTGGAAATAATTTTTAAATGTATGAAACCTCCATGTGTCACACAGTGGCAGAAGCCCAGGGTTTATTCAGTTAGTATTTTGAGACTTGCAATGATCTTCAGTGCCAGTAACAGTTGTTTGAAATCTTAGTAACAGAACACATCATTAGTCATATGGAGCTCCTGTGGATTTATTCAGATGCATGTAAAAAATAACTCAAACATTTTCTTTCTATATATACATACATACATACATACATACATATATATATATATACACACACACACATGTACATAGATATATCTGAATGTTAGATTTATTTCACAAAGTAATATCCTATTTTTACACATATATAATTTATGTATATACAATAGCATTATATAGTGGCACATTCCTTATATCTATAACTTTACTGTTGTGATAACTTTTGAGTATCAGTCACTCCTGTAACTATGCTGCACTAAGTCTAAGCAATAGCTCTTTAACATTAATTGAAAAATCCTAAACAAAAGATAGGACTAGACTCTGAGCAAAAATACCTCATTTAAACCTAGGCAATTGAGGGATGTTAGCACTGAGAGTAACTGCAAGACAAATGTCATTTTGTTTTTATCTCTTGTGTTCACCTTCTTTATTCTGCATTTGCTCCTAAATTCAAAACTGTTAATGGTCTCCAGTGTTTGATCCCTCAAAGGTATTTAGTTACCCAAATATTCAGCCAAGGTAGGCCCTAACTGCCTTGTGGAATGAGTGGGTGGCTCAAGACAGTAAGTTTGGGCTGTGCTAATGCTAGAGGCAAAGCTCAGACATCCTTCACTCCAAGCAGAAACCAGAACCACAAAACCACCCTGAGTGAGATAGTAACAATTCCCAGAACAAGAGATGCTTGTGTGTACCAAGAAATCTGGGTAGGCACTGTAGCATTTGCTTTGGCAGATATCAGCAATAAAATGTCTTTCCCAAACTTCTAGTTCATGTTTATGTTGACCATGTTGCTGGATGTTAGGAAGCCATCACCACAGGCTCCTCCTGGCTCCCTGAGCTCAAGTGGCTCCTGGTTATCTCTTCCTTCTGCCAGAAACCAGCCCCCTGCCATGTGTGAGGCTTCACAGCTGTGGAACCAGCACCACTCTGCCAGGTCTTGACTGCAGCCAGCACACCACAGGCTCCCTTGGCAGCCCAGGGGTCTCTGAAGCAGGGTCCAGCTAAGTGCCTGACTTTAACCCCATTCACAGCCATCTCTGCTGGGCTGGTCCCAGAACTCACAGTGGAGCTCTATGCACCCCATAAAGACCAGGATTTTGTGGGCTGTACAGTGCAGCACCGTGCAGGAAAGCTAAACTAGTTGCCTTCTGGCAACTGCAAAAGAGACGTGTATTTCATGTCCCTTCAAGTATGCTAAAGCTGACACTCCCTGAGCATACTTTGGAGGGTTTAAACAGTGAAGTGAGTTCTGTTCCTGCCCCTTCTTCAGTTCAGGAAAGAAGGGGTGCAGCTGTGAGGGATTTAGTGTGTGCCCAGATGGTACTTCAGCCTTGATGAATTGGTGCAGCTGCTTTGATGTCACCAGTATATAATGCTGCTGAGGAAACTGGTACAGAGCAGCCAATGAAGACGAACAGATGGTGAAGCTGCAAAGGCATGCGAGTGCCCTGAGTTTGTGTTCTTCCCTTCCCAGCACTGCTCTTGCTGTTTGTATTTTTCAGGTGTGAGGTTGGCACTGCCCACTGGACCCAGTGCAATGAGAATCCTGTGAAGTTTGCTCGTTTTCCTGTGACTGGTCTGATTGAAGGACGTTCCTACATTTTCCGAGTCCGAGCTGTGAACAAAGCTGGTGTCAGCCTACCATCTCGGGTGTCAGAGCCTGTGGCTGCTCTGGATCCTGCAGACAGAGCCAGGCTGAAAAGTAAGATGTGCTTTTTGCAGGTTGTTTGAAAGGTTTAAGAAGTCACAACTCATTCAAAAAGAAAAAAAAGAAGAAAAAATGCAAGCATGAGCATCAACTCATAAACCTTCGAAATCCCACTAGAGGGAGCAATGCAAAACCAAAATTTTTCTTTGGAGAGAGCTTTGCCAAGAAGAAATCAGCTCAGTGCTCTTTGCACAAAGTGCTCTATCTGTTGAAATGGCTTTGGCTGGCTGTGGTGCTATGCTCCAAACTTGCAGGAAGGTGGGGGAGGAAGGCACAGGAGAGCTAATTGCCTAGAGAGACTCACTTTGTTCAGCCAGCAAAATAGCTGAACAGATCCTGTGAATAGTCTCTCTCTGAGCCACAGACAAGGGTGGCTGATTCCGTGCTCATGTGATGATCAAAGTCTTGCAATAACATCGGCACAATACCAGAGCAGCCCAACAGATCCCAGGACCTCTGCTTTAAAGTCAGCATTTTACAAGTCAAGGATATTTTCCCCATGACCTTGCAACATCTCAGGCATTTTGCTTGCAAATCCATCTCTCTGCCCATATGCCATAATTATATGCCTAAAATCAATTTCTAATTCTATTCAAAATCTATTTCTACATGTTTCTGAAGTTTTACTACGCTATTTAAATTTGCTATTTACTATTGACTGTATGTAAAGCTACAGGACTCCCACAGTCCCAGCATGTATGAGTTACTGTATACAATGCTGCAGGCTACAGTCTGCAGCCAGATGATCTAGGTTCCCATTCAAAATAAAAACAAAAGGCCAGAGGAAAGAGGTTTGGCACTGCCAGGAAACATTGCACTCAGTCAGACGTGTGAAACCATGAGTCTGGGCGAGGCCTCTTCTGAATGGGCATCATGGAATCTGTCTCAGGAGATGAAATCTGGTTTTGGTGGGCTATTCCCATTATGTCTCCTCCTCTCATCCCTCATGATCTTTTCTTCCCACTTGCTTCCTCTCTGCTCTCATCCATAAAACAGATCAGCCGATGTAACGCGACCAATGTGGAGGTGGAGAACAGTGTTAGCAAAAATTATCTCTGAAAGTGCATTGACCTGGTCGATAGCTGAATGCATAACTGCAATAATATGATAATGCAGAGTTGCTGAGAGAGCCACCCAAATTATATCAAGTGGATATGTCGAGTCAGGCTGAGCTGTTTCTGTTTGTGACTGTGACCCATGATTTAAAAGCTGGCAATGTGAGGGAAAGTGGCTAAAAAGAGACAAAAAGCAGCCTGCAGGAATTTGGCTGTTCCTTTAGTAAATCAGCTGTTAAACCAAAGGAATAAAGGATGAAAAATAAAGTTGAAATTAATACTCTGAAAATGATGAGCTGAGTAAGCCAAATACCTCCACTTGTCACCTAGGAGACTTCAGTGACATTTCAGGAAGAAATAAGTGCTGCAGTGGATTAAATTATCTGTCTATGTTGATTGCTGAACTGCTTTCAATATTCAAGCTGGTAAACCTACAACTAGCTTGGATAACTAGCTTGCTACATGAGCAACAGTCATAGCAGTAACCAAAAATGGAGCTCACAGGGATCTTGCGAATGTTAGTTTTGAGCAACAAGCAGTTTGTTTTCTCATTGTTCCTAAAGTTCCCAAAGTGTCCCATTTCCATGACACCTCTGACATTTGTTTCAGGTCACCCTTCTGCTCCTTGGACTGGACAGATTATTGTGACTGAGGAAGAACCTGCAGGTAAATACAGCCCTTTTGCCTACAAAAGTCTAATGTGAAGCTGGCTGAGTAATTAGGAATACTCCGAGTGAGTGCAGTGGACTTTGGCACACACCCAAAGTTCCTTGTTCTGAGAGTCACTCGACCATGAATGACTCACAACTTAGTTGTTGAGGTAAGGTTTCATTATTCAGGACCTAACAAAAAAACATGCTAAGAATTAAAAGAAGGATATATAAAACCAATATTTAGAAGACTTTTGACTCTATGTTTAAAAAAAAATCAGGTGCCAAGATATATCAATACTCTTGTATTTTAATTATGGCACTAATTCTGATACAAATATGAAAGAATTAAATCTGAATACCCTTTCCTATTTTTCTCCCCTGTTCTTCAGAGGGTGTTGTTCCTGGTCCCCCCACAGACCTCCAAGTTATTGAATCCACCAAGAACTATGTTGTGCTTAGCTGGAAACCTCCTGGACAGCGAGGCCATGAGGGTATCATGTACTTTGTGGAAAAGGTAAAATTGCACAAAATCAGGATCACGTTATGGCAGTCATTTACAGTTGTTTTGCCATCTCATCAGGACTTCTAGTTAACTTTCATTTCCACCTGAGACTTTCAAACTAGGGTCAGGATCAGAACTTTATCAAGATAACTGTAGATGTAGAGATAAGATAAACTAGGAAGAGAAGAGACAAGGGGAATAGGAAAATAGATGCAGAATGTGTCACACACTAATGTTCTTTTGAGAATTGTGTCATTGACCTACATTGGAGTAGACAGACTGACAAACTCCCTCTCTAACAAGAAAGCACAGAGCAAAGTCACATGTTTTATGTATATATGTATATGTATCTCTTATATATATGAGATATATAAAATATATATAAAATGTGTGTAAATGAAGCTTGCCTGGTAGGACAGATTGTTAACATTTTGTATGGAAGCATTCTGCAAGAGTTTCTAGGCATCAGCACTTTCTCTTCCAGCTGTCTTTTAATATTTATCCTCTGCATTAAATTTCCATTTGCTTCACCAACTCAGCAAAGATGACAAAATTTCCAATTTTCTAGAAGTGAATCAGTTTTAACTTCAGTGCTCTCCTTTCCTTTTTGTTTGTGTCTTTGCATGGCTGCTAGCCCAGAAAATTCTTCACACCATCACCCTTTTTACTTGCATCTCATGGCTCATAAAATTTTATCAATGCTTTTCTCTATCAGTTCTAGACACCTCTAGGTGTCATCAAGGGAGACATAAATATCTTCCCATTATGTGTTTTTCATCTCTCATACAAAATCTGGTCTAAATAAATGAGTTTCACTTAGCAACAGCCTTAGAGAGGATGAATATATGAATTTTGAGTTTCTATATAAGAAAGCTTTTTAATAACCGATTGCATGCTGAGTACTTAGCACTAATGTCACAGACAGATAATGTTCTCCTGAGAATTTGAATCCCTCAGAAACCAGAACCATTACTAGAAATTATACTTAATGTAAATCACAGTGAAAAATTAATTGCTAGATTAGTGGTATAAGTGATCATAGTATGTGGAGCTTCTAGCCACAGAAATAAAAACAATCCACAAATTAATTGTACAAGTTAATGTTTTTCCGGGAAAATGGGGTTCAGATTGTGATTTATTCTGGAAGCCACCCCAAAAACATTGAGAGTGACACAAGAGCGTCTAGAAGCAATGTGGTAATGTTAGAGTTTTGCACTTTAAATGATGCTGAATGTCTGCAGAATTTGGATGCATTTAAGAATAACATCACTTCCTTGTGGTGGAGAGAAGTTTATTAAAACCAGTAAACTTTTATGTATGTTTTCAGGAGTAGTGGACATCTGGCAGATTCATGAGCTTTGAAACATGCTGTTTCTGTGGAAAGGCCCAAAAAAGGGATGTGTCTCCCTGTACTCCACAGTAGACATGCATTTGGTGGTCCAGGTAGAAAGCCTTGTTGGGTTAGACACTCAGCTTTCAAGAACTTTTGTTCCAAATGTGGTTTCTGGGTTTGACTGCAGTGTGTTGCTGGCACAGAGGACTGGCAAAGGGTGAACACCGAGATCCCTGTGAAGTCTCCTCGCTTTGCAGTTTTTGACTTGGCTGAAGGCAAATCCTACTGTTTCCGAGTTCGCTGTTGCAATTCAGCTGGAATTGGTGAACCTTCAGAAGCAACTGAAGCCACTGTAGTGGATGATAAACTTGGTAAGTGTGTGGTTATATGTCTTAAATTGCCTCCATGGTATCTGTTCACTTTATGATGTAATTGTTTTGTGTGCAGACAGATAGCGGCACAGTAAATAATTCAAGTATGAAAAGTAGTTGGTGATTTATTCCCTTTCACTAAAATAATTTTGGTTTGGGTTGTTCAACCTTTAATGTATAGTCAAACAACAGATGCAAACCAAGGGAATTAAGTGGCAAATAATGATGCCAAGAACTGCAAAGACTGCAAATAGCAAAAGAAAATGAAAACTCAAGGAAGTACAAAAATGTTTTGTTTTACTTAGAGTCTTTATTGAAAATAAGCCCAGACATCAGCAGAGTTTAACCTTCCTTGTTTGCCAGATTAAACAAAAGTGAAGAATTTAATACTTACATGAATGCAGTGACTATTTCCACTGGAGGAGAAGCCAAGTTGTTCACTACAGTCAAGCATCAGTAGCTACACCTACATTAGCCATTTGTTTTCAAACAGCAATGCAGATTTCAATCCAATTCCCAGATGGTCTCTGTTTGCTTCATATTGAGTTCTCAGAGCACTTTGATGCACATGGACTACATTTTTTAAGAGGAGTAAAACATCTCTTCTCAAGATACACTGTAGATGCACTTTGCTACATAACAGGGGTGTTGGTTTCTGGCTTAGCCTGTGGGCTGCACAGGATCTTCAATGTGCACCTAACACATTTTACCATTTAGGAGGCTCCAAATCATATATCTGGTGCAGATAACCAGCATAAGGGAATAAACTAAATCTAATTTGAAGGAAATGCCCTGAATTGTAGGCAACAGAGAAGTGAGGAACCTCACTAGCAAAGGCTTGAGCCTACTGGTCCTGTCCTGTCCTGATAGATTACTTAGTTTAAATCACACAAGTTTTTTTAAGGTTAAATCCGTATTAGTCATGCTGGTATGATCAAGAATAGAATGTCATCCTTCTTTGATTTGTAAATTTTGACTAGCTGATCACTAATTTGTTTTTGCTTCTCTCCCAAGATATTCCCAAAGCTCCTGGCCGTATTATGCCAACTAGGAATACAGATACCTCAGTTGTTGTCACTTGGACAGAACCCCCAGATGCCAAGGAGCTGGTTGGGTACTACATTGAATCAAGTGTAGAAGGATCTGGTCGTTGGGAACCATGCAACAACAATCCAGTGAAAGGCACAAGGTAATGAATTTTAAAACATGGAAATTATGGCTACCATTTTCTGATTTACTGGATATATGTACTTTCCAGTCAGTAGCAGTAGTAGAGTTAATATCTCTGTGGTAGCCAGCTGGCTGGAATTTTTATAACTTCTTCATAAGAAGTTATAAAACCATATTTCAAACTGTGAGTCTTGTCCAAAAAGAAATTATAATCAACCTTATATTAGAAACAATTAGTCAAGGGGGAAGACACATGGATATTGCTAGGGAAGAAAAGGGAAGCTGCTTGCTACTTCTAGCTATTGTATGGCCTAGCAAGTTTGATGGAAAACAGTACAGTGAGGAATGACTGAAGTTACAAATGTGGAAAACTAAACTGCACAATGTTTGGAAGCAAAGTACTTTGTTTTGGAAGACTGCTGTAAACATTTCTGGAGTGTGTATCAAGACTGTCAGGAGGACATGTGGACTGTATCACACTAACAGTATTATTTTCTAACTACTCTTTCACTTTCTATCAAGACACTTGAATGCTGGGTACAGACTCATTTCTTACTGATATGAAGCTCAGTTTCTAGTCAGAAAAAATAAGCAAGATTTAAAACTCTAGGCTAAATCAGATTTGGTTTTGTTTGAATAAGGACGTCATCTTCAGAGTTAGGAGTAATTGCAGAACTTTATCTCAAGTGGATTGATGTCAATACAGAAGTAGTCCCTGCTTGTTATGACTGATTATGCTTACTTGTAATTACTATCCATTACAATCCTTATTACAATAAATAATGCTCTGCTAAATACTCTCAGACCAGCTTTGTTGTTTAGAAGGGCTTCATAAGTGCTTAGGATATTAAAACTACCTAAAACCTCTGAACACAAGCACAATTTCCTTTAAGTCTTCTTTTGTGCATTTATTTTGCAACAGCTGTGCCAATATTATATACTTTTATATAATTCTATGATTTATATAGTAGCTATATCAAGTATTGGTGAAGTTTTGTGCTGTTTGCTTATTTTAAAATATGAAATATGATCTTTATTCACTGTAGAAATAAAAATATTGTTCTGAATTACTATGAAACTGCACTGCTTGGGTTTCTATCCCTGCATTTTTAGTCATTGTGATATAATGTACAATGCTGTCAGGCACAGGCTATGTGTTAACTCTTGCTTGTTCTGGTTGAGCCAATATCAAAGCATTAGCTGTAGTTCATAATTTGCATTATGCAGTATATTGTGATCTTTTGAAATTTGGTGAACACAAATAACTTGGAAAAGTCTGGTAGAATGGGTGGGGAAAATTCTGCTTTGAAAATTTTGATTCAGGTTTTATTTTTTTCCCCAAAATAAAACATTGAGTTTGAAATACATTTTGTTTTCCACATTATATTTGCTTCATACACCATTGTATGATGTCAGTGTTGGTAGTACAAGACACGACATTATGGAGTAAAACAAAAGAAAAGTAACATTCAATAAAATACACTTAAAATACCCATTGAAATATATATATGTTGTTTTAAACAAAAAGTGCAAATTTCCAAACCACAATCTACTCCTACATAAATGATTCGTGTCTTGGGAAATTTTGTGCTTTCACGGTGGGCACAAGAGAAAATTTATGAGGGTTTTTTTATGTGACAGGTAATCCAGTAGAAAACCTATTCGAATGAAAGAATTTGTCAGACTTAGATTATTGTGTCATGTATAGAATCAAGAAAGTGAAATTAAAAAATCATTCAGCTCTTTTACAATGCTCTGTAACACTGCAATTTTTCATTTATGATTGGAAGTGAATTATAGGAACTTGTGTTACATGTGTCTTTTACTTATGCCATGAAAATACCCCACAAGAAGCAAATATAGATCTTATCTCTGCAGATTTTCACATTTTTCAATTAGGCAGTATGGATTTCATATGCTAGCAGAAGTAAGGTAGACCCTGTGGTAACACAAAAACTTGAGTAGTCTTAAGAA